AGAAAGAGAAGAAAGATGGCTTGCTGCTCTCTCAGTTCATCAAGGGTATTCTTTATGATGAGATGCTTTTGGTTAACTTGCAGTTGAAGGAAAATGTGTCACAACCCCCCACCTACCTTCAACTCCTCCGAATGGTGAGACGTGAGGAGGCTGAGCAGATGGTAAAAATGTCTCATCGTAGTGTCGATGCTCCTAAAAAGGAGGCCAAAACATTCCATCAATCTGCAGGTAGCAAGGAAGTTGGGGAGAAAAGGAAGACTCCTACAAACAGCCGACCCAACTTTTGTTACAAGTGTGGCTTAGAAGGGCATTATAAAGGGAAATGCCCCAATGAGCCTGATGTTGAGAAGGTTAACAGTGCATTGATCAAGTTCATCCATCAGGGAAACGGGACAGGGCATCTGAGGGGGGCCGCCCAGAAGCCCAAAGAATAAGGCCCAATTCCAGTTGTACAATTGGCACAGATATTCCTGCTGGTTTAATTGGAGAGCAGCTGATCGTGGAAGGCTATGTTGATGGAAAGATAGCCCATTGCTTGTTAGATACAGGGTCATAAGTGACTCTCATATGTAACAGTTTCTTCCAGCAACTGCGGAGGACCCTGTATCCAATGAGTGATTTGGTTTTGTGGCATGGTGGAAGTGGCACAATGCCATATCTTGGGTGGACCCAAGTTGAAATTGGGCTTGATGTCGGGTTCTCTGGCACAAACGAGTCTTTTCTGACACTGGCATTGGTGGTGCCAGATGGCAGAGATTCAGATAGGTACCAGTTGGTTGTTGGTACAAATTCTGGTGTACTGCGGAATTGTTACCAGGCTGTGTTTGGTGGAGACTTCCGAAGAGTAGACACGACTAGACAAATGGATGTACACCCAACCTGTGCCAAGATTTACAGAGACCTCGAACTCTCCAAAAGGGTTCGATCTGATGGACGCATTGGAGTCATAAAGTTTCATTCTCGGGGTACACTTACAATTCCTGCCAATTCAATGAAGACTGTAGCTGGCACACTTCGTAACAGAGTTGGCGGACAAACTACTGTACTGATTGATGCTGCTGTGCCACGCAAGTTGCCTGGTTGTTTAGACGTAGCGTGTTCCCTGGTAAAAGTTGGTGCTGGATTCAATAGAGTCAGCGTATGTCTGTTGAATTCAACAGGGACAAGTGTACAGCTGCCGAACAAGTGTGTTCTGGCAGGGGCATCCATACCTGCCTGGACAAGTGAATCTGTCTGCAGCAAAAGTGCAAATAGTGGCAAAATTTCTGCAAGTCCATCAGACTCGTCAAATTCACACCGAAAGGATCGACCGACGACAAGGACAGAGTTTGCTAACTTACCTTTCAAGTGGGGTCCCATCAGTGAAGAGTGGCGTGATAGAATTCTAGGACTTGCCCATCAGAGGTCAGAGATCTTTTCCAAGCACGAGTGGGATGTTGGTCTCACTGATGGAATTCAACATGAAATCCGACTAAGTGACGAGCAGCCTTTCCGCGAGAGATCTCGGCGTGTGTCCCCGGCTGACTTGAAGGATCTTAGGGATCACTTGCAGCGACTGTTGGATATTGGAGTGATCACTGAATCAAAAAGTCAGTATGCATCTCCAATTGTCATCGTCCGTAAAAAGAATGGCCAGATGAGACTCTGTGTAGATTACAGGACTTTGAACTCCCGTACCTTGCCCGATCAGTATGCAGTTCCCGTTATTCAAGATGCTCTTGACTGTCTACATGGATGTAAATGGTTTTCAGTGCTAGACCTGAAATCAGGTTATTACCAGATTCCAATGAAGCCTCAAGACAAGGAAAAGACGGCATTTGTGTGTCCAGCTGGTTTTTTCCAGTTCGAGAGAATGCCCCAAGGCATTAAGGGAGCACCAGCAACATTCCAACGACTAATGGAACAGTGTGTGTCAGGTCTGAATTTTGATGAAGTCCTGGTGTACATGGATGATATCATAGTATTCGCTCCAACCCTGGAAGAGATGGAGAAGCGGCTGGGTAGGACCTTTGATCGTCTCGCTCAGTATGGCTTAAAGGTGGCACCGGAAAAGTGTCAGCTGTGCTGCACCTCAGTAAAATATCTTGGCCATGTGGTTTCAAGGGAGGGTGTCGAAACTGATCCTGCAAAGGTGGAGGCGATCAGATCCTGGCCACGTCCAGAAAACGTCAGACAGCTGCGCTCTTTCTTGGGGTTTTGTGGCTACTATCGCCGATTTATAGAGGGTTTTTCCAAAATTGCTAAACCTCTCCATCAGCTCACTGCAGGTTTCCAGCGGCACGATCCTTCAGCAAAGTCTGCGGGCAGGACACACATGGATAGACGGGTGTCATTCGGTCAGTTGTGGACGGCAGAGTGTGACAGTGCGTTCAACATTCTCAAGGACAGGATGTGTGCTGCTCCTGTATTAGCCTTTGCGGATGTAACACAGCCATTTGTGTTACACATAGATGCCTCCCGTGATGGTCTTGGAGCAGTCTTGTGTCAGGAGTCATCAGGGAAACTGCGCCCAGTAGCTTATGCTAGCCGAGGGTTGACCCGCACTGAAAGAAACTACCCCGCACATAAGTTAGAGTTTTTGGCCCTCAAGTGGTCCGTCACCGAAAAGTTTAAGGACTATTTGTACACAGCAAAAGGGACGAAGGTGTATACAGACAACAACCCCCTTACTTACATACTCACCACAGCAAAACTCGATGCTACGGGCCACCGCTGGCTAGCTGCCCTCACCGTGTTTGACTTCACATTGCACTACAAGCCTGGACCAAGCAACAAAGATGCTGATGCATTGTCTCGAAGGCCTCACTGCCAAAACTTGGATGTTGTCGATCAGAAGGAAAAGATCCACATCCTGGAAGCTCGATTGCAGGGTGAAAGTGGCGAGACTGAAAAGCACTGTGATGTTGAAGTCATCCATGCTATTTCTGCCAGCCTCTTGCCAAGTTCTGCAGGCAGTGAAGTTGATGAAACCCCAACCTATCCTTTAGTGCATTCCTTGGCTCTGGGTACTGAGGCTATTCCTGCATTGTATTCTACGCCAGATGGGAGTGGATCTGGTGAACCAGTCGAATGGAAGAAAGAACAAGCTGGCGACGATACATTCAAAAGAATCCTTCCAGCAGTCATAGATGGCAAGAAACCCAAAGTTGTGGCTGATATGACTCCCCAAGAGAGGATGATGGTAGCCCAGTTTGACAAGCTGGTTTTGAGAGAGGGAATTCTGTATCGTCGGGTCATCAGTCCAGCTGGCGAGGAGACGTTTCAGTTGGTGTTGCCTAAGAAGTTCAGAGAACAGGCAGTGAAGGGACTTCATGATGACCTGGGTCACATGGGAGTAGAGAGGGTGGTTGCTTTGGCTAGACAGCGGTTTTACTGGCCCAAGATGACTTCGGAGATAGAGGATTGGGTTTCTCATTGCCTTAGGTGTGTCTCCCGGAAAACAACGCAAAAGGTCGCTGCGCCCTTGGTGAATATATCAACCAGTTCTCCTCTTGAGTTGGTGTGCATGGACTTTTTAAAGTTGGAACCTGATAGGAGTGGATACCAGTATATCTTAGTCATAACCGATCATTTTTCAAGATATGCACAAGCTGTGCCAACCAGGGATAAATCATCCAGAACTGTTGCTAGGGTGTTGTGGGAACGTTATTTCCTGCACTATGGGCTCCCAAAACGCCTTCATTCAGACCAGGGGCGAGAGTTTGACAACAAGCTTATAAAGGAGCTTGCGTCTCTTCTGGGGGTGTCTAAATCCAGGACAACTCCGTATCACCCACAGGGCGATCCACAGCCCCAGCGATTTAATCGCACATTGCTCAACATGTTGGGTACTTTGCCTGTCGACAAGAAGCATACTTGGAGCAAGTTTGTAGCACCCCTGGTTCACGCATACAATTCCACAAGAAATGATAGCACAGGGTTTCCCCTATCACATCATGTTTGGAAGGGAAGCTCGACTTCCCATTGATGTGTGTTTTGGCACAGCTCCAGATGGCGTGTCCCACAAAGAGCACACAAAGTATGTCCAAAATCTCCGACGTAACCTGGAGAGTGCTTATCGACGTGCGTCAGAGGAATCTGCTAAATCAGCAGCTGCCAACAAGCAACGTTATGATGTGAAAGTGCGAGGGAGTGAGTTGCAGACTGGTGACAGGGTACTCGTCAGGAACGTAGGTTTCAAAGGCCCTCATAAGATTGCAGACAAATGGAATCAAGACGTGCATGTTGTTGTTGGCCGCCCAGATGATAATATACCGGTGTACAGGGTCAAGTCTGAGTCTCGACCTGGTATTCTGAGAACACTGCATAGGAACATGGTCTTACCAATTGGTGGTATTGCTCCTGAAGTAAGCCCCAAGGTTACAGCCTCTAAGGTTCCAAAACCTGTTGCCCAGAAACTGCGGACATCAAACTTAAAACCTTCACCAGTACCAGCTCCAGTCCAGAGTGAAGAGGAACATGACACTACTGCCCCTGATGAAGATCAGGAAGTAGTTCTCATTTGGCCTAAAGTTGGAAATCCAAATGAGGTTACTGATCAGCCGGACCCTGTTGAGGAGACACGGGTGGACCTGAGTCAACGTCAAGAAACCAGTATGAAACCAGGCTGTGAGAAGATGGATTCGGTCAGACTGAGAGTGGATGCTGATGTATTTGTTCCTGCAACTGTTCCACTGACTCCATCAATGAGTTCAGTGCAGCAGGATACAAGTACTTCCACAGCCCTGAAAGTAACTGATCAGTTGAGAGAGACGACGACTTGCGACACAGGTGTGAGAGACTCTCACTGAAAAGGGTATAACCTCTTGTTCAGAAGTACCCACACCTATTAGCCAGCCCACATGTTCTGACAATATCCCCACAGTTACTTCAAAAGCAGCCGGGGCTGTAGATGTATCAAGTTCTGATGAGGAGAAAAGCTTCGGAGAAGTGGGACTTCAAATCAAAACTACTGTAGAGGTTGAGCATGATGGTGGTGGTGTACATTCAGACGAAACCGATGACCTTGGAGATGGAACTGGGATGACTGTCGATGATGGTAGCCCTAACAGCTCAGTGGTTGAAGCTCCTTGCCGTGAGTCTTCTTTTCTTGATTCAGTAGCTGAGTCCGAGTCTGAGGAGGGCAGTATCAGTGATCCACATCCCGCAGATTCTGAAGAGGATGAAGGGTCCTTGCAGAGTCACCCTTCACGTCCCTCTAGGAATAGGCAACCACCAAAGCGATACACTTATGATGTGTTGGGTCAACCTACTTGTAGAGCAGTACAGGCTAACGCACAGAGTAGTTGGATTCCGGAGTTCTGTAGATCATTTCTCTCTACAGACAGACATGTTATCGGGACGATACAACATGTTTAGAAAGGGGGGAGTGTAGCCACTTGCTTTCCAGGAGTCGCGAGAAATGAAATAGCGCCCTCAAGCGTTCGCTAAAAACGCGCCTGTTTTCTTGCCATTGTTCACGAAGTTTGTTTGTCGATAAAAGTTTTGTTCGACAAATTTATCCAGAATCATCTTGCTGTAAAGTCGCTTTTTGAGCGAATCATCAACCTATTGTGTGCCTCAAGAATCCGTTATTTCTGCTCAGCATACTGTTGGCTCTCAGGTGTGTGATATTTCCTATATTTGAGGGGTGTGAATTAATGACTTTTCATGCTATGTAAAGCACACGTTTATTTGGGAAATGCGTGTAATGCAGGGATATATAGGGGATTGAATCGGACATTTTTGAGTGCTAGCTTTTGATTAGATAATGGGTTGACATGTAGCTTTTCACATTGGGATATATTTCTTTGTTTGCATTTATTGTGCCTTCTTGTTATTTAAGGAAAGCAGTAAGTTCCTGTAATTTGTTTTCCCAGACAAACTTTGTTGTGATTGCAAATGCAGTGGGTCAATGTTAGTTTATATGCACATTAATACTCATGCATAGTTGAAGCATGTGCATGTCTAGATTGGTTAATTATGGGAAATAATTAAAGTGATTATTGCGCTGATTAAACGTTGTTTAGTGCTCATGATGGATTCATGGTGGATCAGTTGAAATATATTGCATGGGTAACTGTACCTGTGAGTACATGTTACTATGGTAATTTGCATGCCCTTGCAACGAATCTATAAACAGTGTGTATTGAAATGGACACGCATTGAAAAGTTTATAGCTTGTAAAAACGTGCACATGGCTATATTCGGTTTTGTACCTTATGTACATGTTTTGTATTGTATTTTGCTCTCAGTTCTCAGGTTCTCAGATACAAGTGAGAACTTCTTAGTCTCTCTTTGAGATAACTGAAGGGACGACCTCACCTGATTGCCGTTTGCCAGATCTGAATTTCACCTGATAAAGAAAACTACTACAGTAGGCCAGTGGTCATCAGAGGTGCTCCGTTAAACTACTGGAGTGAGCCTACTCAAGGAGACCAACGACTTCGTCTGCCTTGCAGTACCGGGCCAGTTTACTGACTTCGTTGGAGTCACCGGTTCAGTCAAGTCGGTTGTCTGGACGTCACTATTTTGGAACTGAAAGCTCCAAGAGTAACATTGACTTTCTTGCCGGCCGGCCGGCCATCTACTGTGCACATCATTGGGCCCCATTTTTTTGTGTATTACATGTACTTGAGCATCGTTGATCCATATCCTTTTAATTAAACATTGATTGTATTTTGATTGAATTGTTTGGCCAAACGAAATTGTTGTTACACAATAAAAGCTGATTGGAAATTAATTTATTGTTATTCTCCTGTGTCCTTCCCTAAACGGTTACAGTTTAATGGAAACGCGTTACATTCTCTGGCGCATGGCGGCGAGTTCGATCCAGATGTCGACATGTCTTCTTCGTCAGAAATTATATCTTGGGGGTTTAGAGATCAAAAGAAATATTTCGCTAACAGACAGAAGCAGCACAGCGCAGTGTGCAAGTCAAGTGGGCTGCGGATTTCGGAGAAGTCGGGAACAACCTTCAGAATTAGAAAGATCGTCAATAAATCAAGAACTCCAAGCAAAAACAACACTTTTTAATATGTACAGGTGATAATTTCTTGGAATACTGGGTATTTACTTTACATAATCACATGTAAGTAACGGTGCTAATTTCCATAATGCTTTAGTTTAAAAATGTACTCAGGATGTACTCGATATTTTGTTCTCGTACTCGGTCCGTACTCGGACTCTGAAAAACTCAAACTCGGAATTTTGGCCTAGGACTCGACAAAAAAGTACTCGGACTCGGCCCGTACTCGGCACTGTGTGTACTGGGAAGAGTTGGTACTGGAGTTTTGGTACTCGACTACAACACTGTGTACATGTATAACCCATCAGACATGTCAGAGTTTGTTTTAAATAAAAATGTTTGGAGTGCTATGAAAACATGACACTTACATTCTTGAGACAAATAGAAACATGATATTTTTTTTAAATAATTACAACAGGTGAGGGTCCTGTATCTAGAAAATGCGAACATACGAAAGCGCTACAACTTTGGCCAGGTGTATGACAAAATTCGGAGAAAATGCTGCAGGACTCAACTGAATAGGTATGTGATAATTGATAATATATTTTCTACAACACAACTGGGCTGCATTTGAATATCTGAAACGTAAAAAACTGTGCTGATCAATCTTTATGGCCTGTTTCAAGTATGCAGAGATGATTACATGTACGTCATCATGGCTCACGTGACATCATCACAAAAGTGCATATTTTATCTTATAACACCTCACCCACGGATTCTTTGTCTGGATTGGCCAAGAGCGAGTCACATGATACTTTATAGTATCAGGAGGCCATATCTAGTTTAAAATCACATAATGACGTCATCGTGACGTCACTGCAATTTATGTCTATAAACACTGTCTGGAATATCTCCATACCTATATGTACCTACCCACCGTTTTGTTACGATCAGACATACCCTTATATGTGAATCACAAAATCACTTTTTTGATGACGTCATGATGACATCACACATTTTATGATATTTTGAGCATCTATCTTTCACCTAACAAACATGTTACAACACGAATTTGAATTTACCATGTTACATTGATAAGATTTTAGTAAAAGGTCCAAAACTGTAAAATTTATATAAAATCACATGATGACTTCATCGTGACATCACTGCAATTTTTGTCTATAACACGTCCAGGAATATTTGCATAACAAGTTTGAACCCAATTGGACCTCCGGTTCCGTAGATATAGGGCCTTAAAGTGTGCACTTTTAGGATCGTGCCATTTGTGACACATGACGACGTCATCATGACGTCACTGCAATTGTTGTCTATGACACGTCCCGGAATACTTGCATACTAAGTTTGAAACACACCGGGCTTCCGGTTCCGTAGATATAAGGCCTTAAAGTATGCTCTTTTAGGATGACGTCATGATTCGGCATACATCTTCAGATGGTGGTGTAAGTGTGTGCTAGGTTTGAAGTCGATCAGATTTGAAAAAAAAACCAAGTTCTACAAGTGACTTGTAGAACGAAAACACGTGTTATCCTATGAGAAAAATGTGGGGGAAAAAAAATTTAAAAAAAAATTAACAGAGACACACACCAAAACAGTTAGAAAAAAAGAAGGATTTCCGGCTGAAACCGGAAAAAAATGTATCTCTGAGTATATCAGCCCCAACAAACCTTTTCATTTTCAACTTTTCCTTTTTTCATATCACAATTGCAGGTTTGACACTGGCGCAAGTAGGATGCTGGGAAGTACATGAAGTACATGATCTTATATGAAGTACCCGACTGAAAACAACACAGATACCCCCCCCCCCCCCCCCTCTTCCTTAACCAGTTCATGCCGCTGGGCCCTTGCAGTACCTGGTTGTACTGGACAGTCTTGAAAATACAGCATTAGGGTCAGTTGTGATTATATCATATTCTAAATGCAATGCGCATGTAGAACATAAGTAAACAACTTTACAGCGCGTCATGACGGTTAAAAAATGTCACGGCAAAAAGCATCTGCAGTGGATACGCACACGTATTGCGCTGTTTACGTAGAGGTATTAAAATAAAATGCTCATTTGCTGATCCTGCGTTTCGGTTTTTGGCGTATCGGCTTTGATAATACAAACAAAATACGTACAACACGTCAAGTTGTCCATAAATGTAGGTGTGTGCACAAACATGGATGCACCCAGCAGGCATCACTCTGCACCTGAGTCACTGCTCTAGTACTTTAATACAGTGATGTAGTGCCTTGATGCTGGGCCTTGGCCTTAAGGCTGCCTTAAGGCTGGATTTTAGGGCCTTGGCCTTGGCCTCGAGGCCAAAAGCCTTGGCCTTGGCCTTGAAAGTTCAGGGCCTTGCAATTTTGAGTCAAGGCTCTTCAAGGCCCATAGATTTTTGCATTTTCCAGATAAATCTGTTCGAAATTTTGCTGTTACCATTTTAATCGTATTACCATGGAGGAGGGAAGGACCCTAAAGATTTGTGTGTTGGGCACACATCCACTTTTGTAGCATCACATTTGTTACCATTGTAGTAGATTTTCTGCAAAAATATTCTGTACACATGTGGGGCTAATGAGATGATCACTTTAATTGCATATAACTATGGAATAGATCTGATTGGTTGTATATGTCTCCCTGATAAGTGCTAAAGATTTGCATATATCTGTTTTACTTTAATTGCATATAACTATGGAATAGATCTGATTGGTTGTATATGTCTCCCTGATATGTGCTAAAGATTTGCATGTATCTGTTTTAGATAATGCTGATATTTCTGACCATGTTGGGCCAGCAAATAAAAATTTCCCAAATCAGTTTCTTGGATCCCCCTTTTGTTACATTTGGGAGAATTGTGTGTCAATATAGAAGTAAATCATTATTTTGTTAAGTTAAACCATATTGAAGACCTGAACTTATACTTTAATAGATACAGTGCAGTCATAAAACGGTGTAGGCCTATGCGAGCATGTTGTTTGTAATTGAAGAAATGTTGTTCTTCGTAACGAGCAATTCGTGATGATAAGGGTGGATCCAGGGGGGCCAAAAGGGGCCATGCCCCCCCCCCCAAAAAAAAACTCCGAAACCATTTTTTTTTATGTGACGTAATAAAGGCAGGCAATGAGTACACCACCATCTTTTCCTAAAAAAACATCGGTTAAAATGGTCAGAAATTGCCTCCAATCGCACCACAGAGCATCTCGAATCCAATTTTTTTTTCGGGGCCCTTAAGCGGGCCCCGAAGCCCAAGCCGTAATTTTTTGACCCACTTTTTTTTGGGGGGGACCAAAATTTTTTTGCCCCTCCCCCCCCCAAAAAAATTGTGTTCTGGATCCGCCCTTGAGTGATGATGTGTCACTCATTTGACTATACATGTAATTAGTTCTATATCAGTGGTCATTTCATAAAACAGGGCCTTGGCCTTGGCCTTGAGGGTTAAGCCTTGGCCTTGAGGCTTGAGGGTCAAAGCCTTGGCCTTGGCCTTGAGGGTCAAAGCCTTGGCATTGGCCTTGAGGGTCAAAGCCTTTGCTCCAACACTGATTTAATATAGCTTTAAGGATTATATGAACAGTTTAATGCACATAATGCTTGCGTAAAATATGCACTTGAACTTTACTGTGAAGACAAACATTGCTGACTTTGAGAAGCCAGTGGTCTCTGTTGCTACTATGCCCTCATCCAGAGTGCTTTGTATACATGCAGGTGGGTTGTTCCCTTGATAGAGGAAACAGTTTATGTTACTAACAACACACAAAATACATGTATCTAGATATGTACATGTGTATTGGTACAATGTAGGTAACAGTCAGAGTAGCTTCAGTAAGTTGTTTGGTAAAGGCATGTTCATTAACTTGTACTAGTTCTGTAATACACCGTTTTTAAAATGAGATTTGGATTTCTGTAGATATTTGACTATGTGTTTAGAAATTATCACATGGATTCAAACATGTCAAATGAAGTTCATGCAAGTAGTGATGATATAATTTACCATTGACATATCTCAGTCCAAGATGAATTCAAATACCACAGTTGTGAGAATGAACTTATAAATGTACCAGTAGGAACTGAACCATCTTAGCATCTATAGCCCCCCCCCCCCAAAAAAAGTCACCGGTTTCTGGTATGCGCGCGCGTCGCCCTAGCCATGCGAGTCGGCAAAAAGGATAAGTTTTTTTTCCATGAAAAATGATGTCTCAAAACCGCCAAACTCACTGGTTTGACTGGAATCCTGCTGCTGCACAATTTTATCGTGTTTTTAGATGGGGTTATGGTCGAGAAGAAGCATTATGTGGCCTCTCTGGACTCCCATATATTTGCACTAAGTTTAGTCGGGCACCATTTGCAGTCATCAGCCGACATTTGAAGCAAAAAATCACAAGTGTACATGAGGATATAACACTGGAAAATGTACTTGAAACTCTATTTGATGTAAAACACGTGAATTTAAGCCAAACAAACTAATTTTATCAGGGAAATCAACTAATTTGGAAGTTACACTTGTTATTTTGATCCTATGTATACAGCCCACTAAGAATGTAATAATTAAGTTGCTTGTTTGAACTGAAATAATACCATTGTACATTGTGTCCTAGAACACTATGACTAAAGAGCTGCAAGAATGAACTTAACTTAAATAGTCTGAGCATACCGCTCACAATTAAATGTGTCTGCCGAGTTGTACAGTCCATCACAACATGACTGATGGATAATTCATCGCGCGCGTGTGTGACGTCACCATTGAAGAAAAACAAGTTGCGCTTTCTCAACGACTGTTTTATGTAGTCATATGTGCCCGCGCCGTCTGACAGTGTGGG